TAGAACAACCTAGAGCAATAACAGGATAAGCCAAGGCCAGTCTCGTACCTGTTAACAACTTCAAGCCGAGTTCCCACTAGCACTTAGACCGGGTCTTTCCCGCCAAACTTCAAACACTCTTAAAGGTTTCCTCAACATCTCTGGCTCTAAGTTGAGCAATAAGTTCCATCGCGCGAATCATGTTGATCTCAATTTATGTCGAGCTAGTCGTTGTCTTATAAATTCGTCGAACTCGTACATCGATCGTTCGACGAACTTGAGGGGGGCTATTGTTGGGTATGGGTTGGTCACCCTTATCTAAAAACCTTTCCAATTGAGATCAACTCATAAAACACATTAATTGCTAAAGCCCATAAAATTTGGCCAAAAGTAACTCACCAAAAGTAACCAAGGTTACTTTCATACCATGATTAGTGTCTCATTTTCTCTATAAATAGAGAGGGCACCCCATTAAGAAAAGGGATTCACTTTTTTTACAAGAGCCGAGAAGCTCCACTACAAAATCTCTAAAACTTGCTCTGACAACTCTCCAGTTCGGAGCTCCCCATCTCGCAGCTTTCCTAGTTCTCCACCTTTCCTAAGCTTCGCCAGGTCGTCGCTCCCAAGCTCGCCCACTTCCTTAGCTTTGCCAGGTCGTTGCTCCTAAGCTCGCCCACTTCCCTAGCTCCACCGAGTTTCCCAAGCTTCGCCAGGTCGTCGCTCCCAAGCTCGCCCACTTCCTTAGCTCCGCTAAGCTCCCCAAGCTCAGTGAGGTTGTCGTTCCCGAGCTACGCCAAGCTTCCCTAGCTCTGCGAGGTTATCATTCCTAAGCTTCGTCCCTAGCTCCGCCGAGCTTCCCTAGCTCCGCCAAGTCATCATTTCCTAGCTTCGCCAAGCTTCCATTGCTCCGCGAGGTCGTCATTTCCTATCTTCGCCAAGCTTCCCTAGCTCTGTCAGCTCGTCATTTTCTAGCTTCGCTAAACCTCCTTAGCTCGACAGCTCCCATAGCCCACGGCCTCCCTAGCTCGCAGCTTTGCTCGCTTCGATAGCTTCCAAGCTTGCCAAGACAACTTCCAAGCTCACAAAGACAGCTTCCGAGCTCGTCATCAAGACATCTTCTAAGCTCGCCAAGACAGCTTCCGAGCTAATCCTCAGAGCAGCTTCCTGAGCTACTCAA